CCTTAAAATTCCTCCACTGAATATAAGCTTCTCTCAGTATCAGGGAGCCTGTCTTTGCTGCAGGGATTTGAAAGCAAAGGCTTCCCCTTCTTGGAAATGTCAGTTCCCTCCAGGCAGGGAAACTGAGGCACCAGCACAGGCCAGGCTCACGACTAGACCCCACTTCTATAATCTGGATTTGGAAGATGCCTCCCAGTCCCAGGGATACCTCTTTGGTTCCCTCTCAGTGGGATGTGGGGACTGAAACACATCAGAATACAAGTAGCACTCACTACTCAAGCAGCTACAACTTCATTGCACATGATTATTGGTAGGGAGGACCTACGGGGTTTGTTGAGGAGGAAGGATGAAGCCAGGAGAGCAAGAGCACTGGCCAGCAGCTGTTGTGTTAGAAAGGCTCTGGGAAAGCTGCTGTTACACAGCAGAGCTGTGCTGCCTCACACCAACTTCTGAGAGGTTGCTCTGCTGTTGATGTGCTGTTCAACCTTGGGTGTGTCATTTAGCCATTACTAATTGAGTTTTGGGGTTTTTTTATGTTGTCTTATAACAGGATTGTTGGTTTGGGAAAGAAAGTTGCAGCCAGAGTGAAGAGAGCAGGACTCAGGGGATGAAAGGGTGATGGGTGCAGGGACAGGTACCACGGTCCTTGTAACATCCCAGTTCCCTGTCAACACTTGTAAGACTTGGAGATGTTTGATCCCTGTCACAATGGTGACAGCACTCGAGGCAGGGTGAATAGGGCAAGGAGGGCTTTCTGATTTGGGGGCATCACAGTCATAATCCTTCCTTTTTCCTCCTGACAGAGAGGGAGGGAGTCACCAGCCCTGACTGCAGCTCTCCCCAGGAAAACAAACCCAAGCAACTGACCCTTCAGGAACCCTTTACTGGTAGGACAGAAAGGCAGATGGGTCATTCTTATCTGTCCAGGTTGAAATCAATGCTGAGGCCATTTGTGCTTAAACCACTTTTTCATTTCAAGCTCTTATCAGATGAATGTGGTGGATATGGAAGGAGCTACAGACACTGCAGTTGTTTTCATGGCAGCAGGAGGGGAAACCGTGGGCTTGGGCTGCACAATGAAGCTGTAGGAGATGTGGGCCAAAAAAAGAAAAGCTTTCCTTGCTAATCAGAAGCTCGAAAGCAATTAAAGAAAAGCGGGGAGTCTGGAATAGCACAGAAAATTAGTTGTCATTTTGAACACTTTATTCTCTTGTATCACATTTGCCTTGCTGTGAGAGCTGTTTCCTAAATTAATAAAAACAATCTGTAGTGTAACAAGGCAGTGAGGGGCTCCCTCAGCCTCAGCTGGCACCTATCGTGTTTGCAAATCTCAGGAACAATCACGGACTCACCTGAACAAATAACTGGGCTCCCTGCTGCCTTATCTCTCCACACTGAATTGTCCATCCCTCCTGCATTGTGTGTGCCCAGCACAACCCACCTCTCACCCTCAAGCCTCCTGACATGATTAACTGTGGCATCTTTAATAAAACCTGCATCAATATTTCCTGCTAAAGCAGAGTGAAGATTTCATTTACCCATTCTCCTTTAATTTGCCAAATTCCATTTTTATTTCACTGAATAATTAATCAGGCACTGGAGCATGTGACAGCTTGGCTTAAATTTAGTTCTCACTTCTCCTCTGTAGCCCTGTCAGATACAGTTGGCCAGTCAAACACAGAGTTGGGTTTGTCTGAAAAAGCAACACAGACACTGCCAATCTGGATCAGATCTTTACCCCATCAAGTCTAACATCTTGTCTCCAAGGGCAGCCAGCATCAGGCACTCAGGAGAGTGAGAGGTGCACTGGGTGCTGGAGGAGAAATCTGCACCAACACACAACCTGCCCAAAGGGGAAGGTGTTCCTGACCCTGGGTGTCCTCTGTCGTGAGAGGGTGGCTGTGCCCAGCACAAACACGCACTCCTTCTGGAGTCTGGGTAGCTGCTGAGCTTTGTGCTTACCCTGAGTGCCCAAGAGACAGTCCAAGCAACTTGGAGCTTGCCCAGCCAGGTGAAAATAATAGTGTGTGCAAAGCCTGGAGGCTGCTCAAAGGCTTAGACCCTGCGAAAATGCGAGAGGGTAACATGGGACAGATTATTTTTGGCAAAGTGCAGAACTCCAGGCACTGTAAGACAGAAGGTGAGATCATTTCAGTCCTATACCAATCTCTACACCAGGGAAGTGCAGCACAGAGATCAATGCTGCACAGGGCTGTGAGATTTGTTTAATTTTTATCCTTTCCCCATGTAGGGTTTCTTTTCTAGTTTCATTCATTTCACCTTCTCACTAAACACCAAACATCTGCGAGCTGGTTATAGGCACTACTGCACTAAATTGCTTCTGCTCCTTAATACCCTTCCCAGCTCTGTGCAGGTCTGTTCCTCCAGGCTATTATTCCCAGAGCTGGATAAGTTGGACCTGCATCTTGCCTTTTGGTGACCCGATATGAAGAATCATCTCCCAAAGGAGGAGAGGGCTTGGATATGCCATGCCAACACCTGGATGTTTCTTGGAATGATGTCCATGTCAGGACATCAGGTCACGATGAGGTGGGTTGGGGATTTGGCAGGTTTGAAGACTGGAGTGTTTAATAGGAAGCAGGATGAGGAAAGGAGGTTGGGGATGAGATCCTGGTCTGGGGAGGCACTGGGAAATAGTTCTCATTTAAATAATAGCAAATAGATAATATATCTTTGACAAACAGAGAGAGAAGTGGAGAAACAGAGAGAGGATGTGAACAAAACACAATCACACATATTTATACATATTGCCTAATTGTAAGGAGACTTTATTAGATCAAAAGTGAATCAAAAGGGACTACTTAAAAAAAACAAAATATAACAAAGCAAATTGCCCAAAGTGTGAGGTTTTCTAAGCAGGAGAACCAGGAAGAGCTTTCACTGGCATCTAGTGGTGCATTGTAGAGGCAGCTGATGGCACAGCTGCACTTCCAGAGTGGGTTTCCCTGAGATAGCAGAGATTGTTCAGGCTTGGGGGGCCACCACTTCCAAGCTGGGCTTAGGAAGACCCAATTTTGGACACAGCCTAATTCTGCCCTGAAACTTTGCCCATGAAGCCCTTTTGGGGATGAACATAAGGTGCTCTGAGTCTACTTTGACCGCAGGAGCAAAACCTTGGGATGATATAATGGAATATTTTATCTCACTTTTCTTGGATTTTGGGACTTGGCATGGGCCTGAGGGGACATCAGGCAGATGTGGTTTGTTTGAAGGAGAGGATGAGCTTGGAAAATGCAGATGTCAGTGGAGAGAAACAGGAACCCTGAGGGCACAAGTCAAATGCCTCAGTGGAGGTATCCACTTTGGAGCAAGGTAAACTGTGCCCCAGTGGATGAATGGACATTGACACAGATGGAATGGCAGGATCCTGGCCCCTCCTCCAGAACTTTCAGCAGCAAAGGAGTCACACAAACATTCCCCTCTCAGTTGCTCCATGTCAGCCCCTCATCCATGCCCTGCCCCAACCTCTCACCCTCCATGGAGTCACACATCCAGATGAGCTGGTTGATGGGGCTGCTGACTGGAACTGAGCAGGATTTGTGGGAAGATATTATGGAAATAGGAAGGATGGAAAGTGGGGCAAGTTGCCTAAGGAGTCCTGAACGTGACTTGGGATCTACTGTGGCCCTACACTGTGGTCTCTCCTGTCTCTCAGGGACCTGCTGTGGCACTTGTGCCTCAAAGCTGACAGCTTCAGTAAGGCAAACTGAATGAGGCTTGTGTATCTTCTCTGTGCATGAACTGGTGTAGAGGTGGTTGAATTTTTATGACTTCTTTCCTCTCTGATCTGGGATATGAGCTGGAATGTAGGTGCACCTTCAAACTGGTGCCGCTGCCTCATCCTGCTGGTTTGTACTGGGGTAGGAAATACATCAGCAGACTTTTAGCCCAGACATGTACAGAGTGTAGAGTAAATCTGAACTCCAGGGACCCTGTAACTTTAAATTTCCCTGTGTGATCCAAGCCAGATACCTCACCATCTCCTGCATCAGTTTCCCTGAGTCAGAGAGGGGGAGAACAGCATGTTTGCAGCCTTGTGCCATATTTAGGACAGGATTGGAGGAGCTGGTGCATGCAGGAATGAGTGTTATTGTCCAGCCTCAGAGACACAGACAGCATCTAGTGACTGCTCCAGGGAAGAGTCATGCTAAACAGCTTTTTGTCATTCCCATGCTCCTAAAACCCTCACAGGGAGGCATCCTGGGCTAGAGCTTCCTGCTAATCCTTCAAGCCTCATTGTGCAGTGCAGATTCAGGAAGGTTTGGGTGCTTCCCATGAGATTCTGCTGAGGCTCAGCCTCTCCCAGGCCATGCTCATCCCTCTGCTAAATCCACTCCACGTACCTCAGCGTCCCCCCTTGTCAAATCCACTCACTCCTGTGCTGTCACTGAGCATTAAAGGAATCCTTTGCTGGTAAATGGGCACAAGCCTCGATGGCTGCCACCCCTCCAAGGGGGATTGCAAGCTGCTACAGACACAGAAATACTCCCTGGAATGCGTCTTTCCTCTCCTGACGCTTCCTGGAGCAAGTCCCAGACAATCAGCCCGGGAGGGAAGAAGGATGCTTGCAGTGCCTCAGGATGTTTTCCTTCCCACAACAACAACAAAAAAAGGAACAATCTCAGCTCGGGCAAGAGGGAAATGTCCCGATGCTGACACACAGCTGGGGCAAAACGGAAATGTCCTGATGCTGACTCAGTGGCCAAAGCAGGGAAGGCGGGATGGGGACCAGCGATGCAGAGGGGGAACTACAATTCCCAGAAGGCAGCGCAAGCCGGGGACCCTTCCAGCTTCCCACCAACACAACGGTGCAGAAGAAAGACTCATCAGGGAGAAATTCCCCTCCGCGCCCTCCCAGCGCTCCCGCCAACACCTCGACGGTGGCGTGGAAATCCCTCCGGGCGTTCCGAGCTCAGAGCATCTTCCCTGTCCCCCCCTGCACCGCCAGCCTTTCCTCTTCGGCTTTGTTTGGCTTCACCCTTCCTCCGGTAACTCTCTCTGCTCTGGCCACAGACTTCCTTTAGGTCAGCCCGGCTCTGGCCGCGACACAACTCCCAGTCCAGTCACACGGTTGTACCGCCGAGGATGCCCCGGAGGAGGGAGATGCCCGCCCGAACCTGAGGCACCGCTCAGGTAAGAGGCGTTCGTTTCGTCCCTGTAGCTCAAAGGAAAGACGAAGCAACTGCCTGGCATCTGATTCTGCCCTCGATTCAAACCCCGAGCCCCGGGGCTTGCGGAGCTGGAAGTAAGAGAGGATTTGGATCCGTAGGATCTGCAGACTGGGGGGGGCGGGGGGAAAGTGAAAGGGAGAAAGTAGGCAGGAGGTTCTTCTTTTATCCTTTTTTGAGGATTTGTTGGGTTTTGACAAAAATCCAGGCAACTGAAACGCTGCTGGTGGTGAGAGGTGCCTGCAAGGGACGGACGAGAGCATCCATGGCGAGGGGAGAGGCCGCGGACACCGCAATGAGCCACCGGCATCTGCGGCCGACCGTGTCCCCCCGGCGTCACCCACACCCCCCGGGAGGGTCCTTGGTGCCAGGAGGCTCAATCCACCACCCACTCAGGGGGTTACTGACCTTCCTTAATAAAAATACAGTGCTGCACTTTTCTGAGTCCTCTTTCCAGCCTGGCTGCTGCTGAGGCTTTGTCTGCGTTAAAATAAAACCTGTTGTAGTGTCACACAGCTGCTCCCCCCTCTATGGAGAAGTCTTGGTCCCTCCCCTCCAACAGCGAATACTAAACCCAGTTCCTGCTCCTGCTCCAAGTGGGTGTGTTTTGTCTCTCCTGGTTCGGTATAACTTTCCAGGTAGTTGATTTTTTTTGTTTTATTATCATCATCATCATCATCATTATCATCATCATCATTATCATTATTATCATCACTGATTTTGTTTTCCTGTGGTTCCTCTGTACCATCATGGAGCACTCAGCTCGGACAGGAGGAACGTTGTGTTCTGGTCATAGCTCTTACCAGCATCGGTGGGGATCCAGATGGATCAGCTTGAAAGGAAACGTGACTAAATCTGAAGTAATTTTACTGATTATAATTGAGCTCTTCATTTACCACTCTGACCCCTCTCTTCTGAGGACCACGTAGCTGCAAACTCTGCACCACAGTTGTGCCTGGATGTTTGTACTCCACATGTCCCACCACTTGTCCCCTGACCCATGGCATCCCCCCTACCCACCCCTGCACTTCAGTGACAAGCTCCCCAGCGACTCATCTTCTCAGCCACGGCATCTCAGACCTCCAGGGATGAGGTGACATTGGCAGCATATTTCCTTGCTGGCCTCCTGCCCCATAACTGGAGATTTTGGCAGCCTCACCCTCAGCCATCAGTACCATCAGTGAAATCCTGCCCAGCCACACATGCTCTTGTTGACAGGCATCTCCAGCACCGCTGCCTTCCTCCCCTCAGCCTTTCTGGCTCTTCTCCCTGCTGCAATTCACACTCCTGATAGGAGATGTTGCTCACATCTCTCTTGGCCCTGATTTATTTATTTTTTCTGATGGAAATACTTAGGATCAAGACCCTTCTGCCAGTTGAACCCTCTTGAGGAGGACAAAGGCCTTTTAGCTTTCCATGTCTTCCTTCTCCAGCTGCCCACTCAGGACATCACTGACTTGTCCTCCCCTGTGCCTGGAGATCTGCCAGCCCAAAGCAGGACACCCCAGTTTTGTAAGTGATGCCAAGTTTGGGTTTTCTTCTAAGTTCAAGGGATTTAAGTTGCTGCAGAGTCACTCCTCAAAAATGAGTCTAATTGAAATGCAAGGTGCATTACTTAATTAGCTTACTAACTTACATTTCTCCTTGGTCAAAGGACAGAGGTCTGTTCTAAGAGTAAATCACTAGTGCAGCAATAGAAGAGCCAAAACCTCCGTGTCATTACAGCAGTCAGTGCATCACAGATCCCCCATTGCCAGGGGAAATCATCCTGTTCCTGCCCTCTCTGCTTGTGCTCAGCTGGGCCTGTGGCTTCACAGATCTCAGGTTCAGCCTTTCCTGCAGCCACCAAGGTGTCACCCGTTGTGTTGACACAGTGAACACAGGAGGTGGGGAAGAAATAATAACCTAATTATTTCCCCTTTATTTTTTCAGTCTGGCAATTCGAGTCTCCAGGAATACCAGAGAAGCCTTTCCAGGAATGCCAGAGAAGCCTGTCCAGATGAGAGGAGGCAGGAGATGGAGTTACAAGGATGAGGAATGAGGAATACCACACAGTCCATGTTGGCCCAGAGCTGGCATACAGCATGGCATACACCTGTTTCCTACAGGGAATAAAGTGCACCCGTTCAAGTACACTTTGATGTGTGTGTCCTGATGGCTTTTGTATCCCCACAGACAGTCCATCCCCATGACTCTGTTGCTCTGCTGTACCCATCAGCTGCTTAGCAGCCCCACGAGGTGCAGGGTACTGGGGCACTGCTACCATGAAAGACATTTTTAAGCACAGGGTGCCGAAGACCCACCCGTGTCAGGAGTGTGGGAAATCCTTCAGCAAGAAGGGAAACCTGAGGAGACACCAGCAGATCCACACGGCCGAGGAGCTGTTCACCTGCGGGGAGTGTGGGAAGCACTTCACCACCCAGGGCCACCTCACCACCCACCAGAGCATCCACACGGGAGAGAGACCCTTCTGCTGTGGGGAGTGTGGGCGCTGCTTCTGCCTGGAGATGTGCCTGGCTGCCCACCAGAGGACACACGCCAAGGGGGGCCCCTTCCCCTGCGCCCACTGTGGGAAGAGCCTGAGCACCAGGATCTACTTCAACACCCACATGCACACCCACAGGGAGAGGAGGCCGTTCACCTGCACGGAGTGCGGGAAGAGCTTTGTGAAGAAGGGCACCCTCACCACCCACAGGGAGACCCACAAGAGGGAGAAGCCCTTCAAATGCCCCGAGTGCAGCAGGTGCTTTGGGCAAAGGGCCACGCTGGTGGCTCACCAGAAGATCCACCTCCGGGGGGGACCCTTCATCTGCACGGAGTGTGGGAAGAGCTTGAGCACCAAGAGGTATTTCGATGTCCACCAGAGGAATCATGCTAAGCAAAAGGGGCACATCAACAGCGTGTCTCTCCGGGTCATCCAGGTTAAAGAGGAGCCTAAGTATGCCCTCAGGTCAGAGGAGAGTGTGTTGGAGAATATGGCTCATGAAGGAGATGTAGCCCAGGGGTGTAGCATACCTAGAAACCCATCTAATCCAAAAAACCCTCCTTGGAAAATCCAGGTGAAGGAGGAGCCAGAGCCACCCACTGATGACACAGCAAGCACTACTGCAGTGGCCTGCCAGAAACCTTATGTCAAGGAAGAGCCACCAGAAAACCCGGACTATGGAAAGCTCTTTGATCCAAAGATCCCACTGCTGGCTTTACAGGGGAGACAGCCTAAAAAGGAAGAAGATGCTGATGGGCAGCACGAACAGGAAGTCGCTATAACCAGTAACCACGTGCTCCATGTGAAGGAAGAACCAGAGGAAAGCACTGACTTTGGGATGCATTATGGACAGAAGCCAAAGCTCAGTGCTATCCAAAGGATCCAGATTAAAGAGGAACCTGGTGTGGAGGCCAACCACCAGGAGAGCTCAAAGAGGAAGCAGAAGAAACGCTGCCAGTCCACCAAAGAGGGGATGCTGGAGAACCAGGAGAAATCCACATCCAAGAGAGATCCCTCAGCAAAAGGAGCTCTCAGGGGTGAGCGGATGTTTCCCTGCCCCGAGTGCGGGAAGAGTTTCAACCAGAAGTCGAACCTGACCAGGCACAGGAAGATCCACACGAGCGAGGGGCCCTACAAGTGCGGGGAGTGCGGGGAGAGCTTCCGCATGAGCCGCAAGCTGGTCCGGCACCAGCGCGCCCACCTGAGCGAGCCCTTCAAGTGCCCCGAGTGCGGGAAGAGCTTCACCCAGCGCTCCAACCTGGTCCGGCACCAGAGGATCCACACCAAGGAGGAGCCCTACCAGTGCCCAGAGTGCGAGAAGACCTTCAACCAGAAGGCCAACCTCTTCCGCCACCAGTCGATCCACGTCCGCATGGGGCCTTGCAAGTGCACCAAGTGCGGGAAGTGCTTCCCGCATAAACGCCTCCTGATCAAACACCAGCTGCTCCACTCCCGGGGGGGAGCCTACAAGTGTGGGGTCTGTGGGAAGCGCTACCGGCTGAAGAAGTACCTGAAGAGGCACCAGAAGATCCACGCGCGGGAAGGAACTGCTCCCTGCTCAGAGCTTGGGGAGACCACAGAGACTGGACCCCACCACGCTGAACAGAGGGCACTGGCCCCCATGAAGAGTGAAGAGGAGAGCTGAGCAGTGGGATGCCTGCTCCTGTGGGAAAGTCCTTTGGGAAAGGGGAGAGATGGAGACAAACTGCTTGCCTTATGTGTGAGGGTGGGTGGGTCAACCTGAAGGTTCAGCGGGGTCAAGGGGCAGAGGAGAGCTGGAAAACAGTGATCAGGCACTTTTCTGAGGACAACCCTCGGGGTATCACTTGTTCACAGCTGTGGGATGGAGCTGAGAACCCAAGCACTTGGAGGTGGAGGGATAAGAGCTTGGCATCCTTTGTCATGGTGTGTGTGTGCTACTAAAGTTGTGGATGCTGAAATTATCTTGTGTGGACGATATGTAGCCAAAAGGACCAGGCAGGACTTCTTTTTGTTAGGTTACTGTGTTTCTGAGAAAAATGAGAACCTCTCCCATCTAGTCAAGTGTTTAAAGCAAGAGCCAAGTCTCCTGTTCTCTCTCATGTATCTCTGATCCACACCTTGATTCTCCTGGGCTGATGGACCCTTGTCCACTGGGAGAAGCTACTGCCAGCCAGACCAGGGTTCTAAGCCTCAAATCCCCCAAACCAGGCTCCCAGATTGGCTTAAGCCAGATCCCTGAACTGGGCATGATTTAGCAAATTCAAACCAAGTAGCAGGAATAGTTGAAAACATCTTCAGGCTTTATGGACTAGAGAATAGAAAATGATTTTCCTATTGGGATGTTTTCCCTTCCCAGTGCAAAGGAGACTGTGCAGCTACTCAGAAGCATGCACAGTTCAGCAGTTGTTATCACTCACTGCTGATGGTTTGTTTGAGTGTTCCCTGGTCAGATGAATCTTTGTGTCTTGAAAGCCCCTGGTGTTGTGATGGAATCCACAATTCCCTGAGCCATTCTCCCAGATTTCTCTGCAGCGCTTCTATGTGGCCACCTGGCAATGCCAAGCAAAGACACATATTGGGGTTCCTCATGTTGCTGTAGTACACAGAGTCCAAGAAGCAAGCCTACCTCAGTCCCCTCACCTGTAAACTGTAGATAAACTGGTTCCTATGAAGTTTCCCCCCAAATCCCTCTGATCTGGTGGAGATTCTTTTTTGGGACAGAAAAGGCTGACATACAGGGAAAAACAACAAGTTTAGGATGTTCCAGGGGAGACTTAAGGAACACCCTTGTTAGAAAAATGGTTCTGGGCCATATGCTGGGTAGAAATCTCTCTGCAGGGCTGGGAAACCATGTTTTTGGGAACAATAAGGCTGAGCCAAACTAGCCAAACAAAGCAGCCTCTTTTTGGCTTGAGGAGGGGTAGGGATACAGTAGAGAATGACAGTGAGAGAAAATGCTCACCAGATGGATGGCATTTATTTCCTTTTCATTAGCTGAGCACAGTCAGGCTGTAGAGACTTTTACCAGGAAGAAGAACTGGTGTGAGAGGTTTGCCAGTTGAATTATTGTTTCCGTGCAATAAGTCAGTGCCAGTAGGTTTCCTGGACATCATCAGATCTTCCATCACTGTGGGTGTCCAAGCTTTTGGGGAAGATGAGGGCTGATAGTTTGTAATATCTTCTCAATAAACAAGTATTTAAAGAAAAAAAAGAACAAAGTGGGTGTCTTTTCTGTTGTTGATTTTTGGGGGTTTTTTATGAACTCTTAAATGTAAGAACAGCACTACATTCTCCACACAGTGCAACAGGTGAGCAAAGCAAAGTCAGATGTGTACCAGTGGTAGCCAAGTGGGTTTTTCTGGGGATTATCACAGAATAATAATGGTTTGGGTTGGAAGAGACTGTAAGGGTCATCAGGTTCCATCCCCCCTGCCATGGGCAGGGACACCAGGATTGAAGCAAGCCAAGTCCTCACAGTAACAAAACAGCCTTCAACCTTTTCTCCCTAAACCCATTAAAAGGGTAATAACAGATAATAACACCAAAATGCTTAAAATCTCAATAACTGCCTCATTTTTTACTGCATAGGTTTTATGCAGAAACCCACATGTGTCAGCACTCCCTGAGCAGTCTCTGTCACCAAGTGCAAAGGATGCCCACACGGTCTGTTTTTGCCTTAAAGTCTGTACAGTAAATTCAGGATCTCAGTGGAGTTAAACCAAAGTGAATGTTATGTTGATGAAGAGAAATACAAGCTCTGATGACTTTTTTAAAAAAGAAATCTGGTCTTCCACCATGGGTCAGGTAAGGCTTGTCTGGACACAACTGCTGTCCTGTTTCTAGCTGTGCACATTGTTTCCATGGATTTCAGGAGGAATTTGGCTGAGGATCACCTCGCTGACTCTTGACTATCTGTGTGTATGATCTCAGTTCTGTCTCCAGCATTCAGCATGGCCTGTCTGGATGGAGATGGAGACAGGCTGTGGTGGGGAGCACTTGAACAAGAGAGCACATTTCGTGCTTCCGTGGGACACGTGGAGCTAAATGGTGCTTGGTGTGTTCTGGTGTGGTGGGAATGAGAGGGTCCCTGGCTCCAGAGCAATTGAAGTGCCCTGGGATGTTTACTTGTCCTTTGAGAACATGAACAGTTCCCATGAGAACTTGTTGGAGAATCCCAGGCTGCAGGGAGCCCTGGTGTCCCCACAGATGGGGAGCGAGGAAAGGAAAAACACCAGGGTGAGAACTGGGTGAGCAACAGGATACTCAGAATCACATACTTCTACACATGCTTCATCTGTTCACTTTTGACTTTCAGCCTTCGTGGGGAATGAGTATTTACTTACTACCACCTCTCATCCCATCCAGAGCCAAAGGGATGCAGCCAGGTAGCACCACATGGGGCCAGGTTATCAAGCTGAACTGCCTGAAGCCAAGGCACACTTCACTCCTCTCCTTGTCCTCTCCTCTCCACAAGGCCACTGCCTCCATCTCCTGACCCAGGGCACAGTCCCTCCCTTCAAAGGGATTTCTTGTGATGGAACAAAGCAAAGGTGAGAGATCTCCATCAAAGCACCAAAGCTTCTGACTGGTCACATGAACAAGGCCATAGAAAAATCTCTGATCTCACTAAGCTTTAAGAGTCCCTTCCAACCCAAACCATTCCTTGATTCTATGATATCATCCCCCAAAAAGGTACCTGGTGCAACAGCATAAGGTCACAGATACCAGAGGACCTCACTTCTCCTTTGCCCAAGGCTTCTCTTCATCTATCCAACTGTTTCAATATGCCTGTGTCATCTCACATCCTCAACTAAAAAAACCCAAGAACAAAACAAAAAAAAAGAGATCATGAAAACACCCCATTTTCTCCTGGGTTTTGTTCTTTATTGTGTAACTGGGGAGAACCAAAGAGAATGTCAATGTCACTCCTTTTTGTGGCCACTTGGCAAGTTCTTTCTGAGCCAGGAGTGTGACAGGAAACAATCCAGAGCGTACCTTCCTACCCAAAAGGTCAAGAAAAACTGGAACTGTGTTTCCCAAAGTGTAGTAACATTTCTTTCTCCCCAGTATACTAAATTCTTGTAAAAGAAAAGTATAATAGTTACAGTATTTCAGCCTAATTTTAGAGATGGGGAAACTGAGGCAAAATTTGGATCTAAACAAAATCCCAAAAACAATGTCTGGTGCACATCCTCATCCTTCTGTTCCCCCATGTCAGGCTTTGAAACAGTTGTGGACTCATTTAATCTGAATAAAGATGTCAGGAGAAATTTGTTTAACTTCTAAGTGACACATATTTGAAATCAGAAAACACAGGGAGCACAAAATATGCAATGCCCAACACAGACTGAACTCCTTTTTTACTGTTCAGTTATTTTCTTTTTTTTTTTTAATTACTATTTTCTTTTAAACCTCCTGAGAATGTCCTCCCAAACATTCAACCTTTACTGCCAGAGTTGCTGCCTGCAAGGTACTGCTGATAAATAGCCAGGCAAAGTGGCTGTGTCTGTGTGAGTAATTCAACCAGGCCAAGGACACTTCTCCAGCCCTGGGGGCACCCATCTGGCTTGCATCCATACAGCTAAACTCAATTCAGGATGGCATCATCCAGCTCTGCCCTGGAACTCATCCTTGGCTCCAGCTCTGGCTCAGGTTAAAAGTTTTAGCATGAAATTTGAGAAAATTGTGCTCCTCTGTGCAGGAACATCATGGATTTTTTTTTCAGTGACATGGCTTGGGGTTCCCTTTGTCCTGAATTAGCACATGTTCAGCCATCACCAAATGATCTAGAACATGCTCTGTGACCCAGGCTGGCAGGGCCATGGATTTACTGTGGGTTTCTGAGGGCATCACTGCTGGTCATAATCACAGCCTAAAACAGACAGTAACTGCTACAAAGCACCCAGGAACAGGCTTCCCTCGGAGCTGGAGACTCACAGGGAGACTCAGCCACATGGAGGAAACAATTGTCTTGGACTCACTGGGTGGAGAACCCTTTCACTGTGTCTGGTAGAGGATGCAGACCTGGGCTCTGCCACTGTCTCACCAAACATCCTCTTCCAAGTCACCTCATTTTTGCAAAGTGTTTTGAGATCCACAGACAGAAAGGTCATGAGCAGGATGGCTCATAGTGTGATTCTTGGGGTTGTCCTGTGCAGGGCTGGGAGCTGAACTCGATGATCCTTGTGGGTCCCTTCCAACTCAGGATATTCCATGACTCTCTGGTTATTTCCTTGCTTGCACAGCTCTAAGGGGGCGTCAGCCTCACAAACAGAGTGAAAGAATCCACATGGACAGCTTGGAGGTACCTGTGGAAGATTTCTAATGCAAAGCAGTTTAGTCCAACTGCCTAAAAATAGAAATTAAAAAAGAGAACTATTCTAAATGAAAAGCTCTTTTCAGCCTGCTGTGGCGTGGGCACTGGATTTCCCTAAAACAGCACCTGGACACCAAACTTTGGCATCCTGCAAGCAGCATTCCCACCAAGGACTACAGCTCCCTGGAGCCTGCAGCCCAGGCAGGTGGGGACCAGGCACTGTGTATCCAGGTAGAGGTCCAGCAGGGGAGGCTGAGGATCATGCCCGAGAGGGTTTAGGGCTGTTGTTTCCTGCCCCCAAGCCCCTTCTCTCCCAGTCCCAGCTCCTCTTTCTCTGTCTCTCCTCCCCTGGTAGTTTTTTCATCACTGATACGGCATTCCTGTGAGTCAGCACCAGCAGACATGAGTGAAGTAGCTGGAAGACAAAGAAGAGCTCAAAGTGGGTCAATATAAGAAAATCTGGCCAATGAC